GGACGGGGCGGGGCGGGGGGGAGTTTCGGGCGTGGAAGCGTTTCTCTTGTGTGGTTGGAGTTTGGAGGCCCAACCACCGGGGTAGTTCCAGGTGGCTGCTTCGAGGTGGGTGGCTTTGGGAGAGAGCTGTGATTCATTTGGACCGTGTGAAGACACACGTGACCGTGGAGAAACTCAGATTCTCTCCCTGCTACCTTGGGCAGGGAGAGTAGTGCTGGCTTACAGGCTGGGGATCCCTTTTCAAGGCCATGGGGTGTGTGGCATCATCTCCTTGGAGTGACTTTCCTCCCTGCTTGCTTACACAATGGTTGAGGTGGGGGCGGGGAAGGTGAGAAAGACAAAAATTTGCCACTAAAACCAAAAACAAACCAACTGGTTTATTTACATAATGAAAACCAGCTCAGTTTTTTCTTCTCTTTCTTTGAAGGGCTATGGTATCTCTTGCCTTCCTCATCTCCTTGAGTTCTATTTTTTCTTAACCATAAACTTTTGTCCCCCACCCCAAATTGCTTACAGAGTTATCACAGCATCAGTATGAGCTGGTCACCTTCCCTGCCAACCCAGACATGTGGGGCCTGGGAAATGAAAGAACGACTTGGGACAGGGGGATTTGGAAACGTCATTCGATGGCACAATCAGGTAGGGCCTGTGTGCTACTGGGAAGAACTATGGGTGGCTGGGATGGGGGCTGGGGAAGACAGGCCTCCCTGTCACTGCTTCTACCTCAAAATGTGCTGGATGGGTGAATGGGACTCACTTTTGTTCATGGGCTTCTTGGCAGAGAATGAGAAAGGGGACTGAGAAGGGGCTTCAGGGCTGCAGAGCTGTCTCTAAGCTTTATTGACTATGCCACCTAAATAAATAGTAAAAAAAAAATTTTAAGCTTTCGGCCTCAATTATATATTTTTAAAATTATATATCTATGCTAACATAAGAATATCATGTACTCATACATTGTGTACAGATATATCACATGTTATAAAACATACAAAAATAGAAAAATTTTAAAGGACGAGAATAATTAAATATTTTTAAATGTTTTAACATAAAAAATAAATATTTACCAATTACGATGTCTTCCCAGCATTGTTTGCAATACTTCACAGCACAAAATACACAGATCCATGTGAAAGTGAGAATTACCATTAAGAATATTGGATAAAAATCCGTATTTCAAATAATTTTTATAATTATGAATTATTTGGACAGTTTTTCCTTTAGATCTGATTACAGCCTTATTGTTTTTACTCCTTATGTGTTTGACATGAGTTTCTCACATTAGAAGTGTTAATTCTTCCATCTTTCTGTTTGCTTGTGTAGGTGTTGCATATGCTGACATTCTCAGTCGGAATCTCTTTAAGCCATTTGTCCATTTTACGAGAGTTATCTTATCAATATTGGATAATACAATGCATAATTCTACCTAAGCGAAGTACATATAACCTGCAACATAGGCCCCTGTCCACTCTTGCCTGTCAAATGCTCATTTTCCTCAGGACATCTCCAGTACTAGAATGGCAAGTGACCTGACACATGGTCTGAGGAGAATGTCATACAGTTAATAGCAGAAGAACTTAATTTCTTTTTTTATATTTTTGGATTCCAGTCTTAGGTAACCTCTAGAGTGCATTTATCCAATTTGGAGACCATTGCTGTAGGAAACCCTCACTCACCAAATAGCTAAAATTAGCTTCCTGATCCAAAATTCAGACCCACTGAAGTCTTTGAAGAAAGGCACTGGCTTTTTACTCAGGGGCTCCTGAGCACCGTTTTGGACTGAAGGGATGGCAAATTGCACCCCACTTCCCAGGAGCCAGACTACAGCAAGCAGGGAGGGTCATCAAGGCTACTGGCCAGCCAGTACTGCACTCTGCCCTCCAGTGACATTGTCACACACAACTGGTAAACTAGGATTCCTGTGAACTCTATACCTACCTTAAGGGGACCTTAGAAACTAAATTGGCTCAAATTCATTCTTGTCGGAGTATACCCAGGGGCCTAGCATTACAACAGAAGAGTCAGATCATTCTACAGCCCCACATATACCTGGGCAGGGCTGCTTCTAGACAGGGCTTTTAGAATCTTGACTATGGCAAACCTCTTGCTGCAGCTGAGCTAGGGACATCTTGGTTTCCGTAGCTCAAAATGACCCCCACCTGCTCTCTGGGTTTGGAAAGCTATTGTCAGATTAAATTCATTTCTGGCTTCATAATTATGGGCCTAAGTGTGTGTGTGTATAGGTGTGTGTGTGTATGGATTTGTTTCTAGAATTACTGCTTTCAAGTTCCTTCCCTTATTCAAAAACCTTATTTTTTATTTTGAAAAAGCCAAAAGCCAAACTCTTCATCCTATCTTTTGAGGCTTCCCTGCGATCTGGCCTCCCCCTGTCTTTCTAGCATTACCCTTACACCCCTTGTTGGCTCCCAATAGGTTTGTTGGCTGAGCCTTCTCTTGGACAAGCCTCTTTCTCATAGATAGCTTTATATAAATTCTACCCATTTCTCCAGGATGCTGTAGACCATGTCCTCCTTAAGCCCATCACGGACTCCTTCATTCCATGGGAATTAGTTCTCCTATTGAATTCCTTCAGTTCCACTCAGTTGGCATACCTCATGTAATGCCTTTTTGTCTAAGTGTAGGAGTGTGTCTTGTTAAGGCTCTAAGTTCCTGGTCATCCCGGGCTCTGTCTGGCTTTGCATTTCTTTCAATTCCCCCATAGCAACTGTCTTTATATTATACATGTATTAGGTGCACAAAATCATTCATCTTAAATACTACTTATTATGGATACAGTGGTGATTAAAACCCTTTTGGCTTTTGATAAAATCTTTTTGGAAAAAAGAAAGCCATTAATCAAAAATTATAAATATAAACTCCCAACTAACATAAGTACAACATGGGAGAGGGGCCCAGTGCAACGAGACCTTATAGCAGGGAATCAGCGAGGGCTTTCTCAAGGAAGTGGCACTCCAGCAGAGAGACCTGAGAGATTGATAGAAGTTAGCCAAGCAGAGAAGGTAGGAAGATATTTCCGGGCAGAGGGAGCAGCCTGTTCAGAGGTCCTGTGGAAGGATAAGTCATGGCCAGTAGGTGAGACTGAAAGATGAGTGTGACAGGAAGGGAGGATGAAGGGGAGCCAGTGCCAGGGAGGCTGAAGTATAGAAGGTGAGAATCAGGCCCTGCCAAGGAGATTTTGTTTTGATATTAAGAGCGACAGGAAGCTGTTGAAGGGAGTCCACTCTGTCCACAGGGACAGATTGGAAGGGACCCAAGCAGTGGTGTACTGGCAAGTCAGCTCTCTGAAAAGATGCCCTGATTGATAGCAGTTACCAATATCCACAGCATAACTTCCCACCATGGCTTATTTCAAGCCACTGACAGTTTAACAACCAGTTCTCACTGAATTCCCGAATATTTATTTAACAATCAGATCTGAGGAGGTGGTACAGGACACCACTGGCATTGCCCTGTCATGTGAGAACATCAGTTATGAGGCTTTTGGAGTATTCCAGGTGTGAGATTCAACTGAGCTGATGGTGGTGTAGATAGAGAGGAGCGGGCAGATTTAAGAGCTAATTTAGTGGTAAAATTGACAGGACTTAGTGATGGAATAGAGAGTGGAGGGGCTGAGGGAGCGAGGGGAGTCGAGTATTCACAGATACTTAGTGAATGTTTGCTAATGAGCCTGGCTCAATGCAGGAAGCTCTCCACCATCCTCCTGGGATCTCAGTTGGAGAAATCCGTAGGGCTGCTTTGGGTGCTAAGGGGAGGTTCTTTAGTTGATGTTCAGGATCAGAACATGACCAGTGTGTTCTCTGGTGGAGACCCCTCTGCTCGGAGCCTCGTGACGAAAGCAGCCAGGGTAAAGTGGTGTCGATTACTTAACTCCAGTCAGGTGTAATGATTATACTTAACATAACCATGTATGGTTCCCTAATACTCCATGTTTATCTTATCTATAAAAGAGACTACTTTTACTTTATTACAAGAGAAATTGCATGAAAGAGCCTAAACATTGACATCCTCAGTCAGCTAAATGATGCCTAATAACAGACCCATTGTTTATTGAGAACCTACTACATGCTGGCATTGGGGTAGGTATTTTAGACGCTTTATCTCCAATCTGCACAATAACCCTAGGAGTCTTTAATCCATATTCCAGCTGTGGAAACTGAAGTGAGAAGCCGTCATTTATCCAAAGAGACTTAGTAACCGAAGGCACTAGAATCTGAACTTACATCTGTTTGAATCCCAGCCTCATGTTTTCTCCACTGTGGTTTGTAGCTTCTCCATGGTGAGAGAGGCCAAGGTGGGGGATGCCCCAAGAACATTCTCAGTTTGCCATAATCAGTCTAAACCATTTCAAAGCACTAAGGAAAAACCCTCTTTAAAGGACAAAATATATGTCTTTCTTGTTTAACAGAGAACTCTAAAATAAATATTTCTTAGTGAGGAAGGGCAGTGTAACAATTACCACACGCTTGTTTTCCTGGGTTTTTTGATTCTGTTGCTAAGGGCCTTCACAATCCTGGCTGCATCAGTCCACCCTTAAATCTTTACCCCAAGGTCATTACAGTCTGGATAGGCTGATATTTTCGATAAGATCTCTGTTAAATACAAAGGAAGAAGAAAATGAGATGACCCGAGTGACCTCAGCTTACCACGCCTTTTGGAAAAAGGAAAAAAATACATGACTTGCAATCACACAGCCCTGGCTTCAAATCCTGGCTCTGTTATTGCTAGCTTCGTGACTTTGGGCCACAACTCCCCCCATGGATTTTGAGGATGCTAAGATACTGAATCCCTCGGCTCTCAGCATGTCTGGGCCCGACACGGGGCAGCTGCTTTCTGGAAGGCTCTGGAAACATCCTGGGTGCCTTGTAAATATTCTCTGTGCACTTTGAATTAAAAGAGTCTAGAAAGTGCTACCTTGGGTCCCAAAGGATACTTGGGAGGATAAAATGAGATAATGCACTGGCTGTTATAAAGGTATAAAAGGTGAAGTATTGTCAATCATCCCTTCTATGAAGTAATATTAACTTTTACTGGTCCTCTCACTGGAGAAGACTAAGCTCACTTTAGCTAATCTGCGTGTTTTGAAGTCTTAAAGATTCTAGTCAGTCAGTTTACTAAGAATATATTGAGCACCGACCCAGGCTCCATCAGGGATCCATCAGGGAAAAAAAAAAAAAGAGATGACCTTGTCTTTAATGTACTTATGCTCTAATGGGGGAGGTAAAATGAATACTTAAGATTATATCAAGAAAATCTAAATGTACACACCAAATAATAATTGCTACTATTTACCAAGAATGTCATGTACTAGCTGGTCAGGTGCTTTATCCATATTATTTCTTGAATGCTCAGAGGAGAGGGAAAGCTTCTTGAGGAAACTGAACTTAAGCAGGATCTTGAAAGGAGATAGATGTAGATAGTCTGATGGGGGAAGAGAAGGCACTTCAGAGGGTAGAGCAACATTTACATAGAGCTAGAGAAAGGAAATGATACTACTGTAATTTACTCAAGGCTCATATGTATCAGACACCCGATCTCATCTTAACTGACAACACCGGAAAGGGTAGAGTCATCTCCATCTTATGGATAAAGACCCAGAAGCTTAATAGACTCAATGTCACATT